TAAAACGTTTGGTGGTCAATCGTTTTCCTAAGAAATAGAAAAAACCGTACTCTCACGCCATTGGTCGCATGACTCCGTGACGTTAGCTCGGTAATTTAATAGATAAATATTATTTATCAATCAAATTGTCTTTGATAGGGTTCATTCGACGCGGAATCGTTTGGTGGTCACGAATATCATCGTTAAAACGTTTGGTGGTCAATCGTTTTCCTAAACAATAGAACAAACCGTACTCTTACGCCATTGGACGTATGACTCCGTGACATTAGTTGGAGAAATATTATTTACAAAGGACGCGATTTGAATCCTCCAGTAAGTTATTGCTCCGGCCGTCACGTATATCTTATCATCATCAACTCGTCTGCAATTACTGTAATTACGTCTGCCATAATGGAGTACCTACAAATGTGTACTCCTTTTGAGAAGCAATACCTTTTAGAGGAAGATATATTGTATAAATCAAGTAATCCGATATTGATAAACTTTTGTTTCGACGTGTTTCTTTCTCACGTTTTATGTACGAATATGATTATTCGTATAGTTATATACACTTTGACTTTTATTGGCAAAAGACAATTTGTTCTACTCCGCTAGTGCTCCTATTCAAAGTATTCTGTTAACATGTTTTGTCGTAATCGCGATTTTAATATCGTTGACTCAAGAATGTAAAAATTTATTGATAATAATGATAATTAACAATGCACCGATACAGACATGACGATTTGTTCTCTCAGAAGTACATTGGATATGGTAAAACCTGCTGATCGTTAGAATGGGATTACATGCCAGTATGACAATGGATAAAATGAGAATATACGATCTTGTACAACAGGTAATGGTTAAAAAATTATTATCTAATTTACAATGGATATCAACAATGGACATTCATCCAGGTAAGCTATTATGTTTTGTTATGAAATTTTATATATATATATATATATATATATATATATATATATATATATTCATATCATAAACGCTATGAATTATTTTTTAGGGAATGATAATTTTTTAGTACATTGATCGCAAAATACTTTGGTTTGATTTAGATTTCAGTAAAGAACCTTATCAAACATTGTGATTAAATGGGACTGGCGTATGTGTTATAGCATTTCACAACCCTTATTTTCTATTTGCTTCTAGAGCTAATGATAGGGCGCTAATTGTGTCTTATGGAATGGTGTACAAGTAAGATATCTCCCCATACTTGTCGATATTTGATTTTAATACATATAATGCATGACGCTTGTATTTTCTTTTCCAGTGATCTGCTACAAAATCCGTTAATTGTGTCACTGAAAAGATTGTGTAATCATGAGTCATATAATGATTTTGGCATTTTGGACGTCACGTTTCATCCTATTGAACTGTGGGTATTTTCCGCTGACGCAGACTTTATTGTATGAATGTAGTAATGTATACATAAATAAGTACATACAAATGTTTAGAACATCTACAGGTATTGCCGTTGTAAGAAAAAAATTATTCTATTACATTTTGCCCCAATTTGATGTAATATAGGTACATAAAATACATGTTATCTATTTTTTTACTTCGTATATAAATTTCTTTTAATATAAATGATATAAATTCGCACATAATAACAAAATATAGAAACTCGTACACTTGCATTGAAGTTATATTTACTTGGCGCGAGACACTACCGTGTCTTTTGATATATGTTATGCTTCATTAAGTTACTTTCATTTGATAATAAATGCCCTAATCAGCTGAATAACACTGTTACAAAAAGATGTTTAATTTTACAAGAGTAAAACACAGGTCTACTTAAAAACATAAACGTAAATAAATAACAATTGCGCTATTTTATATACTAAATTGCGATACAGTGATGGAATTTTACTTTTCTCTCCTTTCTCTTTCCTAATATATTTATACTCTCTTTTTTTCAAGTCCATTAATATAGCATATTACGAGGTACTGTACGAGGTTGCGCGATCCAGTCTGATACTCTTATCTTGGAAAAGTTACTCTCCGTCGCTGGATTCATCGATAATACAGCTGTTGCAGCATGAATATCTGGCAAGGTGCGCGATGGCGTCAAAGTTTGGGACTCGAGTCCCTCCTCTCCATCGGGCGCTTCGCGTATTCCCACTCATTCTTACAGGAGAATTATCGATTCTGGCGTGTAACACATGACGATTGACTAAATCTATATCGGTACCGCACACCGTGCTTGGTCCATTCGCTCCGTCTAATAGTCTAGAATTACGTAACGTCTGATTTTCAGTATAATGAGCTCAGGCTCAGGCTTAGGCTCTATATGACGCAATTAATTAACAATATTTTTTGCGTTATCCAAAGGAAAGAGGATAAGTTGTCAATTGTCAGCTGTACAGTCTGTCTAGCTTGAGAATACATACAATTCGCTCGATGAAGAGATAGCGACTACAAACAGAACTTATATTGTTTTCTTCTGTACACGCAAACCAGGACTCTAGAAGTGCCGATTTCGAACCACTACATATGCAGCATCACGTGCTGGTAGTATTCTGAGATTCGAAATTATACTTATTGTTAGTCGTTGCCGTGCGAAAACAATATATATCCATTCAAGCAAGATACAATCATCGACGTCAAAACGTGGTTCGTAGCGCGAGGCTTCCGCAGGGCCTTGACTTTATATTATCGCAAACGGCATATGCCTAATTTGTACATATATTACTATATCGTAATATCGCTTTATGCTATTGAAAATATTAAAAAAGAACTATGCTTATATTCCTGAAATAATTTTTCTTGCGCAATGTCCAAGAGATTAGAAACGACCTGATAACTTTCGCAAAGCTTTGGTAAAACATAGACTGATAATATAATATAATATAATTTATATTTAATATAATATAATATAGCGGAGAGGTGCAACTCTACTTATGTGCGACTCTCGTAACCATATAATTTTACTTTATATAACATTACTCGAGTCGCTCGCATTAATCATCACGGAAAGTCGATGAACCCGTGTTACAACAAACTATAATTATAACTATGTAATTAATCTCATTGTCATTATCACTTTCCGTACGCGTTGAATCTGCATTACCGGAATTACTTATCTCTATATCTATTCTCTATATCTCTTATATCTATTCTGTGTAATCTACTATTTAAATCTTTAATAGAGTCTGTTTGCGATTCAAGTATTAACATTGCGGTATGCTCGTTAAATGAGTCCAAGCTTGATCTCGTGTCGGGTGTTCTATTTCGTATAAAGTATGCTCCTCTATGTACGTCTACGTTAATGTCATTTTGTAACGAAGTATTAGCATGAGCTTCTGTTGATTGGGAAGATTGTTGTCTGGCAATATCGTAACCATCGAGATTAAATGGCATAAGAACAGAAACGAGGAAATAGCCTTGAGACTCCAAGTAGAAGAATTTCAAGTTTATCCGAATCTCAATGGTTACGATATTGCCAGACAACAATCTTCCCAATCAACAGAA